TTAATCGAAGACATCCCTCAGAAAATCCTGGGAAGAGTCTTTGATGCTGTGAATGACTCTCATGATATTGGCAGGGAGTTTAGAAGTCAGTCTCCCACCCCATCGATTATCAGCAACAGGTTAGCATTATTCATATTTTTACTCTGGTTCTGTAAAACTGCTGGGGATGCATATTCATTTTCAAAACTTCATCCTAGAATTTTCATATTAATAAAATTTAGGGGTTTTGAATGCTGGCATAGCTGGAGATAGGCATCGCTCCTGACTCCTGGGATTAAGTGTGACAGAAAATGTATGAATGCTGGGATGTTTACAGAGCTACGACTTCAAACAACCCACAGTGATTTGTTACATGAGAAGGGTTGATCATTTAAAGCAACGTTTCTAAATACCGTAATTTTCGGACTATAAGCCGCAACTTTTTCCCCATTTTTCGACTTTGCGGCTTATATAACAAAGCGGCTTATCTATGGACTTTTACAGCTAACGGCCACTGGGGTAATACCTAAATCTAAGGATTTTACCATCCACCATGTTGACGTCACATTTTCTTCAACACACAAGTACGGTAGCCGTGTGCGGGGGAATGAGGAGGTCCTCCGGAAGCAGACTTCTACCACCAGTGGTACGAGACAGAAAGACGGACATTAAACATAAAAAAGCTGCGGCTTATAGTCTGGTGCGGCTTGTATATGTACAAATCATGCAATTTAGCTTCTGCGGCTTATATTCAGGTGCGGCTAATAGTCCGAAAATTGCGGTAGTCATTTTTCCTGGTTTGCACCATCTGATTAAAAGCCTGTAGGTCCAAAAAGACGAGTATCTGCTTCCTAAATTCTTGTTTCTACATTAAAATTACCTGAACTATAAATCAAAACAGGGCAAAAGCCCATATGTTTACTTGGGCTAGTTTTTCTTTAAAGTAAATCATTTTCATAAACTAAATCTATATTTCTTTTACCGTTTTGTTTGAAGTTGGTCAGTGATTCTTATAAATATTGATCTTGATGATTTAGTTTGTCAGACATTACTGGAGACCTTGCATATAAGCTAAATCCTCTGGTTTCTGTTGCAGCTCTTTCTCAGGCCGTCAGCTGTGTAACGGGATCACAAAAAATGGAAAAGCCTGCAAGAAGAAAGCGGTTTCAGGACAGGAATACTGCAGAGTCCATGAAGGGGGACACAGCTCCTATGTTGTGTCCTAAATAATTGTGACATTAACTTTTTAAGAACTTCTTTTTTCCTTTTTAAGCTAAACTGTTTGTAGTTTGCAGTGTTTTAAATCTTAAATGTTCACTGCCCAGAAACAATCTGGGCAGAGCAGTTTTATTACATGTTTATTTTAATAAAGCCAATCAAACATGCATTGTTTTTCTTCTTTTCCATAAAATTTTTTTATCTTTTATTTCTCATACTTATGCTCATTCTATAACTTTCTCACCCTCCCAATAGCTAGCTGTTTTCAGGTTTCTCACCACCATCTAAAGGGAAAATGTGAGTTGTAAATAAAAAAGAATAACTCCGAGGTCAAACCTTAATATATATATATATATATATTTTTTTTTACCTCTGTGAACTTAACTCTGTGCTACATCCTTTTATATGTTCAACTGGAACTACAGATAAAATTTTGAAAGGAAAGTTATTTGCAAAGAAAGAATTCCTACTTCTTTAATGTTTGCAGTGAAAAGTGAGTTATAGATTGTCATAGATGTAAAGAGACAAAACACTTTAACTCGCTAAAAGATTAGGAACTATTGGAATGTTAAACAATCCAAGAGAAGGAGGCAAGTATAACCTAGCAAACATAGATATGATGGATGGCAGCCAGGCCATTACAGCACAGCTATTTCAGAGCTTGTTACGGTAGAAAAATGTCTCTTCTGCATCGAATGAAAAGGCCCAATGTTTAAACTAGCAGCAGTATCAGCATTTGGATTTCCCTCTTTAATGGCATGTGTATCACATTTTAGTGCTAAGACTAAAAACTATTAACAAAGGTAGGGTTTTGATAGTGGGTCAGGTTGTATACAAAGAAAAGACATGATGGCTATAGTGTTTGCACAGTTCCACCCTTCAAAGTAAAACTGACTGGTTTGCTTTATTAAAGGCTCGGCTGTATTCTCATCAGTATGATGTTTTGGAACCAGGACAGGAATTAAAAAGGCCTCATTAATTCTGCCAGACTGTAATGGCAGCCATTTATTGACCACAAATCGATTTCAGTTTACTCAGTAGGAAGCCTGTTTTTCTTCAAGCTACTGCACTGAGAACATTCTTTTTCTCTTACCCTGAAATTCCACATCCTCCACAACCGCCCCACTCTGTTCCAGACTGCCTGCAAAGTACAGGTGCTGGTCATAAAATTAGAATATCATGAAAAAGTAGATTGATTTCAGTAATTCCATTTAAAAAGTGAAACTTGTATATTATATTCATACATTACATACAAACTCATATATTTCAGATGTTTATTTTGTTTAATTTTGATGATTACAAATGACAACAAATGAAAATCTCAAATTCATCATATCAGAAAATTAGAATATTGTGAAAAGGTTCAAAATTGATGGCCCCTGGTGCCACACTCTAATCAGCTAATTAACTCAAACCACCTGCAAAAGCCTTTAAATGGTCTTTCAGTCTAGTTCTATAGGCTACACAATCATGGGGAAGACTGCTGACTTGACAGTTGTCCAAAAGACGACCATCGACACCTTGCACAAGGAGGGCAAGACACAAAAGGTCATCGCTAAAGAGGCTGGCTGTTCACAGAGCTCAGTGTCCAAGCACATTAATAGAGAGGCGAAGGGAAGGAAAAGATGTGGTCGAAAAAAGTGTACAAGCAAGAGAGATAACCGCACCCTGGAGAGGATTGTGAAACAAAACCCCTTCAAAAATGTGGGGGAGATTCACAAAGAGTGGACTGCAGCTGGAGTGAGTGCTTCAAGAACCACCACACACAGACGTATGAAAGACATGGGTTTCTGCTGTCGCATTCCTTGTGTCAAGCCACTCTTGAACCACAGACAGCGTCAGAAGCGTCTTGCCTGGGCTAAAGAGAAACAGGACTGGACTGCTGGTGAGTGGTCCAAAGTCATGTTCTCTGATGAAAGTAAATTTTGCATTTCCTTTGGAAATCAAGGTCCCAGAGTCTGGAGGAAAAGAAGAGAGGCACTTCATCCACGTTGCTTGAAGTCCAGTGTAAAGTTTCCACAGTCAGTGATGGTTTGGGGTGCCATGTCATCTGCTGGTGTTGGTCCATTGTGTTTTCTGAGGTCCAGGGTCAACGCAGCCACATACCAGGAAGTTTTAGAGCACTTCATGCTTCCTGCAGCTGACCAACTTTTTGGAGATGCAGATTTCATTTTCCAACAGGACTTGGCACCTGCACACAGTGCCAAAGCTACCAGTATCTGGTTGAAGGACCATGGTATCCCTGTTCTTAATTGGCCAGCAAACTCTCCTGACCTTAACCCCATAGAAAATCTATGGGGTATTGTGAAGAAGAAGATGCAATACACCAGACCCAACAATTCAGAAGAGCTAAAAGCCACTATTAGAGCAACCTGGGCTATCATAACACCTGAGCAGTGCCACAGACTGATCGACTCCATGCCACGCCGCATTGCTGCAGTAATACAGGCCAAAGGAGGCCCAACTAAATACTGAGTGCTGTACATGCTCATACTTTTCATGTTCATACTTTTCAGTTGGCCAACATTTCTATAAATCCTTTGTTTTTATTGGTCTTCAGTAATATTCTAATTTTCTGATATGATGAATTTGAGATTTTCATTTGTTGTCATTTGTAATCATCAAAATTAAACAAAATAAACATCTGAAATATATGAGTTTGTATGTAATGTATGAATATAATATACAAGTTTCACTTTTTAAATGGAATTACTGAAATCAATCTACTTTTTCATGATATTCTAATTTTATGACCAGCACCTGTAAAGCCTACCTCAACCGTTCCTCTCTTATCATATTCCTTGGAGCTCAAGGACAGCATGCACAATATTTAATTCATAGGAGCAAAACATGCAGAAATGAATGCTTAATTTAATATGACAATTAAAAATTACCATCAGTATCTGTCACACATGTTACTCCTCATTTTGTTTTCGGTCTTTGTAATGTGGATAATTCGGATCATACAAAATTGGTTTGTTCTCTGCTTCCAAAATCATCATCTCTTCATCCATGCCTGCGATAACAGGTTAGTTTTGACGTTGTGAGATGTGCTTTTAAGCCTCTAAAAAATAAATATTTTTGTTTAAAATGAGTAATCTGGTATGTTGAAGTACAAATAGTTTGCATATAATTAATTAAAATATAAACTGTCTGATTTTTGGGGAATATATAAGAATTATGCTCTAATTTGTAGTTACCGATCTGTCGTTACCATATTTTAATTTGACAAACCGGATCTTGACCTTCTTTTTCCTGTTTGGTATGATTGCAATTGCGTATCTGGACCTAGCCGGCTTCCAATGGAGTGGAGCAAAAAATAGATTGGCTCTGTATTGTTACGGTGAAGGCTAGAGAAGACGTCGTGGACTGTGACGCGAGGATGAGTAGCTGTGGATGTGGAAAAGTTCTCATTGTTAAATATGACCGCGCAATTGCTCTGCACGACGTACATGAGCAGGGCTGAATGGTGACTGAGGATTTGGAATCTGGGGGTTAAGGATAAGAAGCTAAATGGACACAATTTCATCTTTAAATGTGTAACAAATTCCCATTTAAGCTTGAAAGACTTAATGACTGCTCTCCTCCTGGATGACCTCTGCTATGCGTTCCATAGGCAAACAATAGACTTAAACAATTAATTGTTTAAGTAAAGTAACTGCTAGCGTTACTTTTATGCATTTGATCTGTCAAAGAAAAAAAAACTTGAGTATAAGCTCTGACATTGGAAGAGGAAATTCATAAATTTAAGAAAACGGTTCAAAAGAAATAAGAGCAAAAGGAAAGAATGATTTACCACACAGTTTACATGTTTTAGTTTGGTCCTGGAGTTTTATTATAAAACTACAAAGCTTCAGTGATAACCAGACATCATCACTATAGGCTCACTACTTCCTGCATGCCTCCGTACTCTGGCTTCTTCAAGAAAAAGGAAATGGGATTGATGGATTTGGAACCAACCAGCTCAGCAGCTGGTTTACTTCCTGGCGGAGTCATAATTTGCAACAAACCAATCACACGTTTCTTTCAAAGCTGCAAGTGAAAACCAGAAAACATCTGTTAAGGTACAGAATCCACTTCTGTAAATACAAACCAGAAATGTTTGATATCACCTTGTTTGAAGGGTGTGAATTTGAAGTCTGGCAGATAGCGGCATAGCTTTGCGTTACTGGCTGTCTTTTTAAACTGGCCATCCGCTTTACTGGTGTCATACTGGATACGGTCAAAGAAATCACACAATATCTACTAAAGAACAAACACTTTTTTGCAAAAAATTTAAACTGATATAATTTTTACAAAGAACATTGCAGAGACATAAACCTTTCTGTGGTGGATCATCATTTAGTCCCAAATAAGAATAAGTTGTCATTTGATGACAGACTCTAAGCCCCGCCCCCTCAGAACAGGAAGTTGCATTTTTTGGCTCCGAAGGTCCCATTTTTGCCCAAATAATTGAAACCACAAAAAAACACCGGATTCTGACAGAAAACAAGTTGAGGTAACTTAGTTTTGACGGAGAAATCTCTAGTTTTTAATTAAAATGTACATGGCTTGACATTTACAGCTGTAAATGAATAATTTTAAAGGATACCGTTACTCCTCCTTTAAATCCCAAAGATTCAACAACCGCATCTGCGGCTTCTTTAATGGAGACCTCGTCTTCCTCCCCAACTGTAACCAAATATCACGTCATTAAACTTCCCTTTCAGTTAATAAGATCCATGATATATAACGGAAGGATTACCAGAGAGAATGATTGGGTCGACCTCCGAATATTCTCTCAGGACCCAGAGAAAAAGACGAGCCAAGTCCAAAGAGTAGATGAACTGTCTTCTAGGAGAGCCTGAACCCCAGACCATCAGGGGCTTACCCTCCTCTAACAAGACACAAAGAGTAAAAAAAAAAAAAAAAACTTAGCCTAAATGAACAGCCTTCAACTTTCACCTTAAAAAACTCCAAAATGATGACGCCTCTCTGAAAGGATGGACTTACTTTGAGCGATGTACGCTTTATGTATGAGCCCTGGCAGCACATGTCCATCTTCAATGCTGAAGTTGTCATGGGGACCAAACACATTCGTGGGAATCACAGCTGTGTAGCATCGGCCATGCTGCTGAAAATAAGCCCTGAGAGACGGACATACAAACTAAAACTTAGGACCTAAATCACCCACATAAAGAGGAGTTTTATCTTGTTATAATATGAGAGCAATAGCAGACCTGTTTTGAACGTCGATCATCCTTTTAGCATAGGCATAACCGAAGTTGGAATCATGAGGTGGGCCATTATGGATCTGGTGCAGACAGAGCAACATGTGGTTACTGTTAATAAACGGACTGATTGATTCTAACAGGAAGGATCGGAGGAAGGGTTCACCATGGTCTCGTCGATGGGATAGGTTGTTTTATCGGGGAAGATGCAGGTGGATAGACAGGAAACAACCTTGAGCGTTCCCACCTCATGCGCCGCCTGCAGCACGTTGTCGTTGATGTAGACGTTGTTCCTCTGTATGACAAAGATTGTTAGTTCAACCTTTGAGGCAAAGAGGGTAGGAACCATTCTGCAATAAGCTCATGGAATAGGGACTATACAGGTGTTGAGGACTTTAAAGCAGTCTAACCAAACAAGGGAATATGTGCAAAAAAAGCTGATAGGGAAGCAAAGAATGCTGAAAATGTTGCTTCTGATAGTGAGTTCAGACCGCATGAGGTTGAGGCTGTGCAGGTAGTTCACCGCAGGTAGTTCACTGCTCCGTGTTTCAGATGCACAATGTTTACACCCTGGATCGCATCATCAAATAGGAGGAGCTTCAGCTGCGTAAAGCTGACACCCGCAATTTTATTCGGGCCAACATTTTCGGTGCTACTTCTTTTGTGCAGGTAAAACTATTGTTTGTGCTGATTTGATTTTTAAGATATATTTATTTTTAATTATGGCCGATGATGTCACCATCCCAGCAGACCTTAGTGCTGCGTTTGTTTCCTAATATAAAGTTATTGCATAACATCACATATCGTTCCTGTGCCGGTAGTGAGTATAACAGTGGGCATGTTTACCTTATTTAGTGGTTGGAATGATTGTTTAATATTTAGTAAATTCCCAGACTCTCTGCTTTTGACCTGCCGTTACGCCCGGCAACACCGTGTCATTTCCTTTCAAGGTCTCGCTGTCGGTGGGCTTTTTTACAATAAAAGCACAAGTGAAACTTAACCTCATGGACTGATGCAAAACTATTCGTTATAAAAACCATCAGTTTTTAGAGAAGCCCCAAAAGATCTGAAAAAGGAGTGTTTCTAAGGCTAAAGTAAAACTGCTCTTTCTAAAGCCTCTTGAGCGCATTCCTTATTTCTACCTTTTTTATTGTTATTTTCTCTTTATTCAATTTAAAGTGAAAAAAAACTTCACCTACAATCAGACCCTGATTGGCTACCTTGTCGCAATTTCATGGAAGCGATAATCACTCCTCTCTCCATGCAGTGCTGTTGTTTGCCAACGTCTCATCTCCAGCTAGTAGCACAAGGTGAGGGAAGAGCGGCGAACGCTCTCACCGCATGGGAATCACCGCTAGCTGCTTCACCGCACGGTTTGCATAGGAATTCTTTGTAAATCCATGCTAGGGCCATTGCCACCACCTCTGGCCTGAATGCACTATTGGATGATGTTAAATTAGTCACAAAGCTCATTTCTCTGTAAGCTGGTTGTGTGTGTATATATATATATATATATATATATATATATATATATATATATATATATATATATATATATATATATATATATATATATATATATATATATATACACTCACCGGCCACTTTATTAGGTACCCCATCCATGATGCGAATCTCCCGTTCCACCACATCCCAAAGATGCTCTATTGGATTGAGATCTGGTGACTGTGGAGGCCATTTGAGTACAGTGAACTCATTGTCATGTTCAAGAAACCAGTCTGAGATGATTCCAGCTATATGACATGGTGCATTATCCTGCTTAAAGTAGCCATCAGAAGTTAGGTACATTGTGGTCATAAAGGGATGGACATGGTCAGCAACAATACTCAGGTAGGCTGTGGCGTTGCAACGATGCTCAATTGATACCAAGGGGCCCAAAGAGTGCCAAGAAAATATTCCCCACACCATGACACCACCACCACCAGCCTGAACTGTTGATACAAGGCAGAATAAATCCATGCTTTCATGTTGTAGACGCCAAATTCTGACCCTACCATCCGAATGTCGCAGCAGAAATCGAGACTCATCAGACCAGGCAACGTTTTTTCCAATCTTCTATTGTCCAATTTCAATGAGCTTGTGCAAATTGTAGCCTCAGTTTCCTGTTCTTAGCTGAAAGGAGTGGCACCCGGTGTGGTCTTCTGCTGCTGTAGCCCATCTGCCTCAAAGTTCGACGTACTGTGCGTTCAGAGATGCTCTTCTGCCCACCTTGGTTGTAACGGGTGGTTATTTGAGTCACTGTTGCCCTTCTATCAGCTTGAACCAGTCTGGCCATTCTCCTCTGACCTCTGGCATCAACAAGGCATTTCCGCCCACAGAACTGCCGCTCACTGGATGTTTTTTCTTTTTCGGACCATTCTCTGTAAACCCTAGAGATGGTTGTGCGTGAAAATCCCAGTAGATCAGCAATTTCTGAAATACTCAGACCAGCCCTTCTGGCACCAACAATCATGCCACGTTCAAAGTCACTCAAATCACCTTTCTTCCCCATACTGATGCTCGGTTTGAACTGCAGGAGATTGTCTTGACCATGTCTACATGCCTAAATGCACTGAGTTGCCGCCATGTGATTGGCTGCTTAGAAATTAAGTATTAACGAGCAGTTGGACAGGTTTACCTAATAAAGTGGCCGGTGAGTGTATATATATATATATATATATATATATATATATATATATATATATATATATATATAAATAAAACTGTAACTGGAGCGTGTAACAAAAGTAATTTCCCTCTCGGGTTATTAAAGTATTTCTGATTCTGATCTGAAACAATCCTAATCAGGAGCTTTGATTTGTGGCTCACTGAGAAAATCTGGTAACATTTTTATTGATTTATTTTTTGTTAATAGCATAATGTGATACAGGATTTCTTTTTGGGATATTCAACACTTTCTGTGGGGAAAAAAAAGACAGATTTTAAGATCTCCATAGTTTAGTCCCATGTAAAAATGTAGGTTAATGTTTGTTTGTTTTTTAATAACTAATCCTTTCATTTATTGAGACAAAGCAAATATTCTGGACTCGACTACAGATCTGACTGTATTCTGTCATCATACGTTTTTTTTTACTTGAGAAAAATTTTGATTCTTGCCTTATCTATACTAAAGAACTTTCAATTTTGGTCAAAAGCTGTATTGTTTTTTTTCCTGAAGGAAGACTAGATTTCCCATCAGTACCAGCATGTTAAAGAAGATGGTAAAATCCGGATTTACAGGTTCCCCTGCAGTTGGATTAAACTACATTTCTGTTTCCAGCGGCTTTGAAAGATGAACAGCGATGAGGTAGTGAATCCAACCATGACAAAACAATATCTTATAACAAATGTTTAAAATAAGAAACGCTTAAGGGGGTGATGTGCTGACAAATCTAGAGCCTTGAAACAGATAAATATGTTGGATAATTTCACAGTAAACACACGTATAGATCCCAGAAGGAAGGTGCTGCACTGCCTGAATGTCGATCCTGCAGATTTTGCTTAAATATAGTCTCTCTTCCATCTTTTTTTTAAAGAATGCGGGACAGTGACGTATTCCGTAATGCAGTCAATTAATAAATAAAAAAAATAGACTAATAGACTACATAAAGGTAAAAAAAAAAATGAAAGACCTACCAAAGCAAAAGAAAAAGCTATATTGACAAAAGTTGAGTACATGTTTGTTACCAGGAGAGGACGTGTCTCATACCCAGAAGTCCAGGTTGTGCTTCATGTTCTTGAAAAGTCCTCCCACCATAGCAGCCAGGTGGATCACATGGGTTGGCCGATGTTTTTCAAAAACTGCCCGCGTCTCCTCTTTGTTCCTGAGGTGAAACCAAAAGCACCATGAAATAAAAAAAAGATTAACAGCTACACAGATGTGAGAATATTACTGATTCTCACATGAGGTTTGCATCTCTGGAGGACAGAAATATCCATTCTTCTCCTTCTTTGGCTCCACCTTCTTTCTCTACAACATGTTGAATGGCTCTCCCCACCAACCCGGACCCGCCTGTGACCAACACCTTCATCGGACCAGTGCATTCACGCTGACAGGTCATCTAAAAACAACAAGACGCAAAATAAGGTTAACAGAAGGTGACCCTCATATTATGGTGTTATTAAAGAAAATCTTAATTTCCCCAGTGGCAAAATGATAAGGTGTTACTGTTTTTATTTAGAAACAGACACCAGGCAGCGCTCAAACGATCTAAACAGGCAAATACTGGACAGATCGCCAATAAAGTTGAAGTCCTTTTCAAAAAAAGAAAACGAAAAACCATCAGCAAAATAGGAAGTTTTATAAATAAAGGTATATCAAAGGCCAAAAGATAAGCAAATGCATAAATCAACATCAGAACCAAAAAAATAATAATTTGTAAATTGTTGCCCTTTTTCCACACCATTGTTTTCTTTTCTTACTTTGTCTCCTACAATGCAACCAAAGACAAACACAAAATGTACTAAAGCTTCCCAACCTATGGCCGATTGTGTGAACTAGAGCTGCAACGAAGGATTATTTTGCAAATCGATTAATCTGTCGATTATTTCTTATTAATCGATTAATAATCAGGTAGCCAAAGATTCCTTGAAGAAGATTTCTTTGAGGAAATTAATCCAGGTGAAAATAAAACTTACCCACTTGAATTCTGGATAGAGCATGTTGACAGGCAAAACCATTCTTTTTTGTTATCTTAAATGCAAAATGTTCATATATTTTTTTTACAATTTTAATATTTATATTTTTTAATATGTAAAACTGTAAAAGTGTGAAAAGCTTGAGTTCCTTTAAATCAAGACTAAAAACACATTTGTTTAAGATTGCCTTCCACTGTTCTAGTTAAACAGTTCAACTGAAACATCATTAGTTTAACCTTTTTATTTTCTTTATTACATTTAGTCCAACTGTTTTTAATGGTCTTTTTTGTTTCTGCATTTTTTTCCCTACTTGCTTTGATTCTATTTTATTTTCCTATATTTTAATAATGTAAAGCACTTTGCATTGTCTTTGTACTGAATTTTGCAATACAAATAAACTTGTCTTGCCAATGGAAGTGGGTTGCTCTGACAGTTTGCATATTTTACAGTCTCTTTACTCTAGTTAACAATTAATCGATAAGTAAATTAGTTTACGATTATTTCAATAATCAATGAATCACAATTAATCTGATTAATTGCTTCAGCCTTAGTGGGAAACACAAATTAATTAGAATAATGGATTAGAAAAAGACTTAAAGATTAAAAAATATCACCAAACACTCACAGCTCGTTCGAAATATGTTGTTATAAGTGACTATTGATCCAAGCCTAATATATCTTTTATAGTTTACCTGAGTTACGAAGGTTGAAAGTAAACAACATCATCTGTATATCAGGTTTAGTGTCAAGGAAATTCATAAGGACTTTTCTGACAGGTAAAACCAGTCCTACAGGATCCTACCAAACTTTGTGACTGCTAGCAAAAAAACTGCAAAAACATATTTATCAAATAATCCATTCATTTAAGTTCATTAACTACATATTAAAACCCAGAAATATATTTTCTTCGGGTTTTAAACGAGAAAGCTAAAACTTATTTGGTTGAATTAAATGAATAAATAAAACAGTAGTTTCTCACCGGTTAGCAAGCAGCACTCCAACAGGATGTTGTCACGCGGCGTCAAGCTACGCCACATCTTAATGTGAAAGACGGCTTTCGGTTTTATTTCTTCAAAATAAAAGTTAGTGCTGATGCAAAGCCAATGTTTGAGCTGAGCAGATGCGGGTAGTAGTAACTAGTTACATTTACTCAGTTACATGAACCTGAGTAATTTAAAAAAAAAACACTTAGGAGTAGTTTTACAGAATTTAAGCGTTTGCTTGAGTAAGTATCACTACTTTTACTTTGGTAAAATTTCTGGCTACGCCTTCCCTTCTGAGTAATTTAACTTAATGCAAACAAGATTGCTTTAAACAAATATGTACCTTTGAGAGACACACTTGCCTCCTTTTTGCTCTCAGGGCTTATTGTTAAATGTTATTTTCCAGCGGAGTAAAAATGCACTATACTGTAATTTAACATATTCTCAAATACTGAGACTATTGATTTATAACCAAAAAATATATTTTACTCCTACTTGGGTGATTTCTTTAAAGACTACTTTTTACTTTTACTTGAGTAAAAATATCCTGTTATACAAGTTCAATTTTTGGGTACCCTAACCACCTCTGAAGCTGAGCTGTATTACACCGATATCAACACCCCATATGATTGTAGCCTAAATGTTTTGATAGCTTCTGCTATTGATAAACAATGTTTTTAATATTTCATCAAATAAAATAGTTCTGCATAAATGCAAATCTAATAATACTAATTATTAATTATTAATTAAGGGATTCTACCAACCCAGATTGTTTTTTCTGTGAAAGCCATACATACTAAACACATTCAAAATAAGTATATTTCACTTTTTCCATCCATCCATCCAGGGGCGGATCTAGAAAAATATTTATGGGGTGGCAAGAGGGGGGCAGGAATTTTTTAGGGGTGGCAACATATGGCGTTTGTTTACACTGAATTTAATCACAGTTATCACAGTTTGGTGAGAATAGTATGTACAGTACTAGTGTTTCATGTGAAACAGTTCATATTAATAATACATCGTACAATGTGATCTCACTTAATAGGAGATAGAAGAATGATAACACTACTTCTAGAGGGGCATTATGACAGGAAAGGTATTAAGGTGAGACACAGGTGCTGAGTCGCAGATGTGTGAGATTGACTGTCAGAGAGGCAGCTTTGCAGCATTTGCACAAGAAGAAACTATAGAAAGAAAAAGTTCCCCATCAGAGATCTATGGACTGAGCTGTACTAAAGTGAGCAGAACTACAAAGTAGAAATAAATGGGTCAAGGCACCCAAACAAGGTACTGGACATCCATGTAATGTTAACTCTGAACACACATTTACCCCATTTGTTCCTCAGTAACATTTCATGCATGTAAATATGCTGTAGATAGAGCTGTATATGGAGGACCAACTCTGCCATATTTAAAAATAAATACAGAAATAAATAAATGCTCAATAAATAAATAAGCAGACAATTAATTGCCACCAAAAATACAATCAACAAATAAATGTATTAGAAATTATATTATAATGGCAGGCAGAAATGTTAAAAGGGCAGGCAGAAAGAAATAGCGGCGAAGAAATAACTAGGGTAAAAAAAATACAAAGGAAGAATAAAACAGACAAAAATATGATAACATGCACATAAATAAATACTTAAAAATATAAGTAATAAAAAAATGAAGTTGAAGATAATAAATGACAAAAAAAAAATAAGGTAAATATTAAAAAGGCAAAGAAATAAAGAAGCCAATTAAAAGAGTTATATACCTTTATGACTAGCTGTATAATTTAATTTCTACTTACATTTATTTGTTGTTTGTGTTTTTGGTGGCAATCAATTGTATGCTTATTTATTTATTAAGCATTTATTTATTTCTGTATTTATTTTTAAATATGGCAGAGTTGGTCCTCCATACAGCTGTATCAACAAATCAACAAAAAGGCGGGTTCTGTATGTTACATCAAAATCTCCACAAATCTGAAAAGAAGCAAAATAAAAATACATTTTGCTTGTGAGTAGGTTCATACAGGTCATTTCTGGATAGTTTCATACTATATATACAAAAAAGAAACAACAACACTGCTTCATATTAAGCAGGATTTACACCAGTATCACATTTTTAACTTTTAACACTTTTGGTTTTATTAAAGGAAATATCAGATTTTCTCAGGTGCCAAAACAAAATGTAACATCTCTGTAAAGGCTCACCAGAGAGCATAACATAAAGTTAACATGACTATAACAGCTGAATGCGGTGATTTCCACGTTGCTCAGCAAAACGCTTCACAAATTTATTTAGATCCAATGCCTTTGTGCGTTTTGATTTGAGTTCAACCAAACTTGATCGTCTCTTTTCTGTCAAAGTTGACCGCAAATATGTCTTTATGAGCCTGAAACGTCAGGCCTAACTAACATCATAGTTAGAGAAATAACATTCTGCAACCTGATTTTTATCATCTCAAAATCAGCATTGCAGCTATGCTAGCAACATTGTGCTTTCATTATGATTTAATTTCTCCATAGATAGTTAATCAGTTTTTACCTGTTTCATCCCGTGTCTCCTCTCCCCATCACCCCTGGCTCCCTCGCTTTGCCCCATTCGGTTTTCAAAACAATCAGTCTCAGTCACTCTCACGTCATCTCGTGCTGCATTCACTGCAGTCCGACATTGAAATTAGCGGTTGTAATTCTCAAATGATCCATAATTTATAAGCCTCGCCACCCCTACCGCCAACTGGGGTGGCAGCAGGGGTGGCAAGGCTGTCATTTAGGGTGGCATTTGCCACCCTATGCCACCCCAGTAGATCCGCCTATGCATCCATCCATCTCATCTGAGGTTGGGTTGTAGCAGCTTCAGTACAGAGGCCCAGGCGTCCCTCTCCTCACACACTTGGGCCAGCTCCTCTGGGGGAATCCCAAAGTTTTCCCAACCGAGAAACATAGTCCCTCCAGCATGTCCTGGGTCTTCCTCTGGGTCTCCCCCTGGTGGGACGTGCCTGGAACACCTCACCAGGGAGACGTCCAGGAGGCATCCTGACCAGATGCCCGAGCCACCTCAACTGGTTCCTCTCAATGTGGAGGAGCAGTGGCTCTACTCTGAGTCCTCCCTGGATGACTGAGCTCCTCACCCTGTCTCTAAGCAAGAGCCCAAAAACACTCAGAAAAAATATCATTTCAGCTGCTTGGATCCAGGATCTCGTTCTTTCAGTCATGACCCAAAGCTCATGAACACATATGAGGGTAGGAACTTAGATCGACCGGTAAATCGAGAGCTTTGCTTTTTGGCCCAGCTGTCCCTTCACCACAACGGACCGGTATATTTCACTTTTTATTCAAGTTCAGTTTTTTTAATTACGTTTTAAAATTACTTTTCTTAGTTCTGTAATACTGTTTAAGAATAAGATACACTGAATACGCTGAAGAAGCAGCACCCCTAGTTTTGCATCTTGTGATCAACCATGTTAAAATGTATTTATTAAAATGCAATATTGTCCATCTCAGTCCAAGCTAATGTGTTATTTCACATTTTAATTTTTCAAAAGCAAAGGTTTAACAAATATTAATATACATTTTTATGTGTTGAGTTGGAATAATGACGTATATTAGAAAAGTGCAAAAATTCATTCTGGTAGTACCTTAATCCAGTAAGTGCTGATAGAGATTTTTAAGGATGCAAACGAAGTCGACAAACCTGATAAAAGTTATTCTCATCATGCCGCCTCTTAGGATGACCACATGAAGAAGAAAAATCAGCGTAAGCAAATGGTAACCAGGAGCTGATGAAGCTGCGGCAAAGCAAAGAGGCTGAAGGGTTTAGGACTTCCTAAACTTTGGACAGTTCAACTGAGCAAAGGCGTCTAAATTTAAGGATGGAGACACTGAGGCTCATCACTGAAGAAGTAGCACAACCAAATATGCATTTTACTACTGCAAAACATTTTGCTCAATATGGGCAATTAAAAATATTTACTCGTTAGGAAAAAAAACAAACATGCAGAGGCATGATGAGTTCCAACATGTCACTGCAGCAGCATTTCCACTTGGCTCAGCTCAGTTTATTTCTAATCATCCTTAATCTAGATGTAACATTTATTTCAATCTGTTAAAATCAAACGCTGCTTCAGATTTATAGGAAACAGTTTCAGTTCCGTGTTTGACTCAAAGTTCAGGAAATGCTTAACTTTCAAATCATGATAAATGATACAAACCAATTTCACTATAGAGTAATCAGATTACCAGAGTGTGACTTGCATATTTACTTTATTGTAATTTATTCCTAGTTGAAATGAACATACTGATGGATCATTTGATGAATGTGGGAACATTTCCAGCTTTTACTTTGATATCAAACTTAGCTGCTACTTCAGTTCTACTGAGGAGATGAGAGCCTGCCAAAGAAGAGGATGGACTTGGTCTTGTTGTGCCTGATGAAGAAGAGGAAGGGGTGATCTGCCTGGAAGTGCTCCTCTCGCAGCATGCAGAATGAAATCATGCCAGCTGTGGCTGCGGCGGCTTCCGTCCCCTCTTCGTTCACATCCACAAAGGCCTTGTGGGCCACCGTAGACAAGAAGAGCCCCCCTTCTCCGTTCATGCCTGCTAGGTCGGCCTTGCCAGGACAGAACACATCTGTCATTCCCATCTTGGACAGATGGTCCTTCAGCTCATAGTCCTCCTCCAGCTTGAACTTTGGCAGGTGGATGATGATTTCTGTTTGGGTATCCATATTTGCTCTGTTGGTCCATTCGTCCAGCTTCTCTGGCGTTAGCTCGCTTTCCAGCTGCAGAAGTAAAAGATCTGCTGATTAAATTGCCCTTATGCGTTCTGTAGATTTTAGAGACTGAGCTTGAAAAACAAAATTGAGATTTTACCTTCAGCAAAGGGTCTGAGTCACCTGTAGCCAACTCTGGCAGGAGGATAAACATGCTGAGGTCCTCATTTACGTATGGAAGCTCCAGGATCTGCAGTCCCAAGTCAGGGATGTAGTTGTAAGGCAGCTTCTTCACCTGGTACATCATCTGGACCGTCTTTGTCTCATTCTGACACACGAGAATAGAAAACGAGGGG